CCAGCCTTGTCCGCCCCTCTCAGAGGGGAAGATGAGCGTGAGGCTCTACATGCCACATGCTTGCAGTCAGACACAGGGGAGGTCCTTGTTTGGACACGCACTTCACTTCCCTGGCCAGGCTGCTCAGCAGTTTACAGGAATCTTTTTCACTGCGATGGGGATGGGTCTAGTTACTGCTGGAATCTGTACAAACTCATCCAACTAATCCTTGGAAAAGCTCAGCTTTAATGGCATTACAGCAAAGACGAGGTAGGTTTGATAAGATTATGTGATCTGCCAAGAGGAAAGGAGAGAGCCACTTCTCTATGCACCTCTGATAAAATTGTGTTACCTGACAGAAGCCAAACTTGCTACATTTGGCACTGGTTTCTTTCTGTCCAAACAGCCCTAGCAGCATCCACCAGACAGGTCTTCTTTAGTCCTCGCTTTGCTCCTGTTCTCATCAGTAACCCCCAACGAAACCCTAATTAACGAAAGCCTTCTGCATAACACCAGCTTGCAGAGACCACTGCATTTTGGAGCTGTACTCCCAGCTATACAAACTTTGCAGAAAAAGAAAAATTCTGTTTTTGCCTGCCCTTCAGTCTAAGACAGAATTCAAATGGCAGCATTAGGCTTAGCCTAGCAATTTTTCTCATTTACTGGGACAGTCTCAAACATGCTGTATTCTGCCCTCACTAGATCCCATCCCGTTCTTGCAAAAATTGAATTCTTGAAATCATAGGTTATGCTTTCATTTGTAAATTTAGCAGCAGCCAGGCATCACTGCGCTTACTAGACTGCAATCATGTAGCCTACAAAGTAATAGAGCCTATGGCTCTTCCACTCCCACCAACATTTTCTCACAGCAGCTCACGAGGTGGAACGTGCCAGGCACGGCCTTCAGAGGCAACCTGCAGCCCTCCCACATCACCCTTTCGAAGCACAGAGGAACATCCTCTGTCCCTCAAATTTAAAGCCAAAAATGACGCTTGATTTACTTGTATAGGCACAGCCTTAGCATCTCATGAACTTATTTCATCCACAAATAACCACGGTTTAGCAAGAGGCAGAAGGCAGGGGTAAGCTTGGTCCATTGCCCCTTCCATGCCCCATCCCAGTGGGACACACACACCCCTGCAATGAGCCTCTTCTCTCAACCTTGCAGGATAAACCTACATCTTCACGTCCTCTTTCCTTGAATGCTAAACCCGCCCCACAGGGTTACCCATAAACGGTTAATCAGGCTGTTATCGGAAGTGTTAATAAGGGACACAGCTACTCTGGAATCATCCCAGGAAAAGGGCAGGAAACTAACTGTCCCTAACTCTAGCCCTACAGAATTAATTCAAAGCAGCTAAGTACTCGACTAGAGTATCAGAGCTACCCCGATCTCATTCAGTCCCGCCACTGCCAATCCATAACCCAGCCCCACGTGTCTCACAGCAGCCAGCAAGAAAATAATATCTTTAGCTCATCTGCTCTCAGAACCATCTCCAAACACAACCCCAGCCAAAAGCAAAGCCTAGTGACATTAAAATAAAAATAGGAAAGCTTTTTTGCCCATTTTGCTAATTAATATGTCAGAGCTCATAAAGAAAAACTCATCAGTTTTTCTCCAGCACTGCATCATCCGAAAGAGCTGTGTCAGCAGAGACCTCAGCAGACAGTCAATACATATTAGAAGTGTTCTGAGCACTAAATCAGAAGAAAAGAAAGAATTTCAGGGGAAAAAAAATATAAAAATAGCTGCAAAGAATTCAGTGCTAGATTTCAATAGCCGATATAAATCTGGTTACAGCTGATGTAAAATAGGCTTTGCTTCCCGATGAAGGGTATCCTCCTAGCTTTCCTGTAATTGGTTTTCTAAAAAGCAAAGACTTCGTAAAGAACTGAGCTAACGGTCCCAGAGTCTGCACCCTCCCCACTTTGCAGGCCCCTTCTCTGCTTTGAGATGGAGGCAGCGCTTCCCCGGTTCGTAGTGCTCATTCCCGGGCGGGAGGCTGGGCAACGCGAGCACGGCCCGGCTAGGCCCGCCGGGAGCGCGGGGAGGAAAACCCTCCTCGGAGCTCGCGTGGCCCAATACACAAATGCTCCCCGCACTCCGGCCTAGGGAAGCGAGGGCTGGAAAACCCTCCTCGGAGCTCGCGTGGCCCAATACACAAATGCTCCCCGCACTCCGGCCTAGGGAAGCGAGGGCTGGAAAACCCTCCTCGGAGCTCGTGTGGCCCGACACAGATGCTCCCGCCGCTCCGGCCTGGGGAAGCGAGGCCCGAGCGGGCACCACCGTCCCGCGGGGCTCTTGCCAGCCGCGTCGCTGAGAACATCTGCGCCGCGCGGGACGCAGCTGAGCTCTGCACGAGCCCCGTGCTTTGGAAGGACGGGCCAGCGATGAGACGCGGGGGGCACAGATGCTCTCCTCTCGTGCTTCTGTGAGGGGGAAAGACAGAAACCGTTCTCTGGCCACCTTCCAGATGCTTCCATGCCTACATACAGTTCGTGGTGGGTCCAGACCAAACCTATTTTTTAAAGGCAAGGAAGGGAACTTCCGCTTGTGGGTACAATCTATATAGGATGACAGAAAGATGGGGCTACAGCTAGAGATCCTTCTAACACCTTGGTACTCAGCCGAACTGTGATCCGAATGTTCCAAACTTCTTCTCTTTGAAATGAATGCATGTCAGCACTCCTGTTGCTCCTCAGTAACATGCAGACAGGAGAGGGATTCAGTAGCTATGCCAAACACTGAGCTGAAATGGTAGAAGATCCACTGCCCCAGAAGGAAGAGAAAGGATATTTCCCTAGAGAAAATTATTCAACTGCGTATTTCGTAGAAAGAGTCATGTTGAAGGAGAGAAGGGATAATTGCATTGATTGTCAGTAGGTGATAATTAATTCTGTAGAGAAATATGTTTAATTTCCTGAAGTCTACCATAGGGTGGAAACTCTTCTTCCTGTAATGAGAAAATAACAGTGTTTTGCTCCCAGCAGAAGAGGCTGCAATGTCCCCCTTAACACATTCTTGTAAAAGGTGGGAGAGGAGAAAGCAACACAATGGAAGAAGTTTAAAACAAGAGTTCTCTGATGTGACAGAACGTGAGATGAGAATAGGATAAATAATTTCAAAAAATATATAGGGAAAAGGGACCAGAGACAGGTTTTTTCTTGAAAAAACCCTGAATGAATACTTGAATGGAACAGCAAGAAACCTGAAACAGCAGCTTGATTTCTCTTATAGAGGCTTAGGAAATCTTAACGTGCTTTAGCATATGGATGAGAAGAAGAAAATAAAACAGAACACCACCCCACAAAAAAAAACTTTTCAACACTTGAGCAGTATTCAGAGTAGACAGAATGCAAAAATGTCTTTTTTACTCTAACGTTCTCAGATGTAGCTAAGTCCTTTAATTCCAGAAGAAAACAATCGAACAAACCCACAACCCACTGGATCTTTGTATTTGTCCTTAGGTAATCTCTGGACTACATATTTTCAATTTCTGATATATGAAAGTAGATGTCAGCTACCCATGAGAGGTCTACAAGGGATAAGGCAAACAATCTTACGTTCAAGTAAGCACGGCTCCCCATTTTCCTACAAGATTTTTAACAGTCTTCAGAAAAAAAAAAAAAAAAAAAAACTTTTCAAGAATCTAGAAAAGCGTGTGGAAGAACAAATCAAAATGCTGCTAAATTACAATATGAAGATTGTTATATACGCAACAACTGATTGCCAAATAGTTTATGATCTCACCAGGTTTCCTTCCAATATTCTTCGAGCGACTTCCACTAATCTTTGGAAAACTGAATGATACTGCAATGTTTACAATTATTTTTCAGTAGAGAAACAAAACCAAACCCCACACAACCCAGGTGCAACATCCATAGCTTTTGCTGGGTGACAAGATCATGTCTTGGATGCTTTCACATCCCAAAGACAAAGTTGAAAGCAGCTCCTCTTCCCAGGAGTGATAATGTTACAAGACATATGAACTACCTCTCAATTCAGAAAGAGAATACAAGAAGTTCACAGACTTAGGAGAGAAGCCAGAAGAATTTTAAAAGAATTTGTCTACTTTAAGTTCAGGAAAAGGTCTTCAGATAAAGAAAATCCACACCAAAGCGCTACAAGATAGCAGAACTAAAGAGAACACCCAGCTGTACAGAGCAAGAATACCAAAAACTATCAGAAATCCAGTAGTTCACCTTTCTTTACACGCATTCAGTTTTTCAGTTCTATCAGAAGGCGGTAAAAGGCAACATGCAATCACAAAACAAAGGACAGACTAGAATTTCACAGTTTTCTAACACAGGTTATGAAAATTTATGGAATTGCTGGAGTTTACTAGCAACCTTTCTAGGTTTCTTATATCAGGTTAGGTCTGGCTTGCTAAAAGTTACCATCTTTTCTGTGAAATTTTCTTGGAAGTTCTTACAATGTAAGAGCTGCAAGTTGTACAGTACCATGGTGAGGTTTGTTTGCAGAATTTCTTTAATAAATAGATGCAGCAATGATAGTAGTGCTGACAAATATAAATTTTTATTGCTACGGACTAAAAAGTTGAAGAACTTTTTTGCGCTATTTCCGTGACAGAAAAATCTTGTATGGGTAAAATAAAAGAACGTCGCAGCTTTTTATAGCATTATCTTCAATACTTCTGACAATGAAAGTGGAACTCAGAGCAAAAAGAAAAATATATTTTTTGATTTTACACAGTTTAGGCTTGCATGCTCCATATGATCTTGCACATTCTCTCCCCCACTTACTTCGACTCTCATCTTCTTTAACTTCTAACTAACAAAAACAACCCCCCCATCTCTTTCTGCATGAGATGACTCAGCTGCATGCACTGCCAAGCAAAAGCAAGCCCCAACCCAGCACTGTGGAAGTTGGAGGCAGAGCATGCAAAATGATGCCTTAATTTGCAATGCTTTTAGCCACCAGTTTCTGGAAGCTGGTTCCATTTACAGCCCATACTACTTTCAAGTCACTTGCTCTTTCTGCAAACAGGAGAACAGCTTACCTGATGTGTGTCCAGCCAATGAACTAACTTTGCTTTCATCTGCCACTGGGGAATAAAAGAAGAGACACACAGATCAGAAATTTGTTTAAATTCATAAGCCTTTGAAACACTGTGAAATTATTTCAGACACACAGTGTCCTAAATCTTAAAATTATAATAGTTTCTAAGAGGTCTTTTTTCTCTAATCCACCCGGGGTGCTTCAAAGTCCAAATACCTGAATCAAAGTCCACTGGAACCAATAAAAAGACTTCCAGCAGTCCTCGAGGGTTACAGATCAGGACCCCAGCACTCACACACTCAAAACTGAGTTGTCAGAAGAGCAATTGCATTTGTAAATAACTCATCTTGCCAGACAAATCACAGGGCATAGGAGAGTTGTAACGTTTCCAGATCAAAGGCCTCGGTTGGCAAAAAAAGAAGCCAGATGTGGAAGCCTCCCCGTCTGGGAGACATCTCCCCACGTCACAGGGCGCGCTGCACACAGTGAGGGCTCCCAAAAGATGCTCCTTTTGATTTTTTATGATATTATTTTATCGGTACACTACACTTCTGAAGTACTTCACAACATCTTATAGGGAGAGATGAGTACAGCATTAACAGTACAGGCAGACAGGCCAATGGAGGAGCTATTTCTGAATGTAACAAAAATTGTAATTTTTCTTGACAACTGTACTTCAGTTTATTATCGTATATCTTAAGAAACTAATTAAAGCTCTTTCCCAGAGGACTGAATAGAAGAACCAATCACCATTCCTTAAAATTAATTCTATGTAAAGAAACCATGTTAGTGTAGTGTTAAGGATGATAAAACAAGGACAGGAAATGAATGCTGGGGTTGAAAGCTCCTTCCTCCCTCTCCCTGCCCCATCACTCCCCTGTATTATGCCTTAATATATGTCCTCTGGCAACCTTATGCAGAAATACTGCAAAACAAAGTAGCGGTGCAGTTGGGCAAGATCAGAAGTCCAACTAAAATGCAAGGTGGTTCTGTACTACTTGTCCTGTAACCCCTTTTTCTGGGTTTTTTAAGTCTCTGGAGATGAGGAGAGCTCTTTAACTGATCCCATAACTCAAAATGACTGGGAAAGAATTTGTTATAAAGATAGTTCAAACTCTTTTCCCTCCTCCCTCTTCCCTATATCTACCTTTAAGCAGAAAAAAAAAAAAAAAAAAAACCCAGGCTAAACTTTAGTCCCAAAGGTTAATGTTTTGACAAGTTATAATTGTGTGAAAACAAGGGATTATAATGAAAACTGATTTGCAACCTTAATGATAGTAGTCACTAATGGCAACTGCTATAATATATGGTAATTACTTGAAGAAGGTTATGTTACAGTATAGAGAAGTTTTTTTAAAAAAGATACCAAGGTTCATAGCATTTTTAAAACCTATGCTGATGGCTGGGCTTACCTGAGACTAAGTTTTACATCATTAAAAAGGATAAATCCATCTGACTTAATCATACTTTACATACCAGCTACACACACCAAAATTAGATTTTAATACTGGAGGGAAAATGGCGTGGTGAAATGATTAGAAAATGAAAAATAATCTTACAGGAATACAAAGTGAGCATTAGGGATTTGAACGCACCCAAACAAAGAAATGCAGAAGTCACGGTGGGACAGCAGAGGTGGAGCCCGGGCGCCGCAGCGGGACAGGGGCAATTCCTGCCTCAGGGGGCCTCCCTGTTGGGCAGCGGCTCCGGGGGCCGCCCCCTTCCCTTGGGACCTGCTTGCTGGATGGAGCTGCCATCCTGGAAAAGCGGGAATTGCAGCACAGGAGATGACCCCTCCTTTCCCTGAATTAGCCCCTGCTTGCCAAAGCTGGGAGCTTCGTAGCAGAACACCACCTCTGCCCTTAATACTCAGCTAAAAAGAATTACAATTATTTTTACACTGCAACATCAAAAAGTAATTACATTGCAACTAACTATGAAAAATTGCAGCTCAAGAGGATCACACTGGGGAACACTCAGTGCCAGACAAATATATCAGGAAAGCATTTACTGTACAAAATTTTAACTGCAGATATTTTTAATGGGAACACTATGAAATATATTCTTGGAGGTAGAACTGCTAAATGCAATACATTTCAAAATAACAACAACAAAAAGAAGCCACATAATTTGGGGACACTAATCATAAAACTCAAGCAAATTGGAAAAGATCAATGCAAAGGAGTGCGCATGAAAGAAGAAAAACAAAAGAGAACTTCAGAGTTAAACAAATACTTCACATATATGAGATGTCCCCAGACACCCAGGGCATGTTATTTCATGAAGCGACCAGTGTTTCCTACCACAACACATGCTAGATCTTCCCAAGTAACATTTAATTTAGGAACTGCATTTTCACCAGAGAAGCCAATTATCTATTCATTATCAGCACTTGAATTAATTGCTGAAATAAAAGTTCTACAGCTACTTAATAAGAGCAAGGACATTTGGGAAGCTAGCAAGACCGCTGATTATGAAAGACAGAATACTAAACCATACAAATCTCTCCAGCTGAAAGCAAACAGCTGATACTGCCCTTTTTACTATGCCATCAACATAAGAAGTAAAAACAAACAGCAGAAACACACCCTCTATAGCACGAAGACTCGCATGTGTTAGACTTTGCTATGGTAATATGTTAGAGTGCTGCTTTGCTTTAAGAATCTAAGAAACAGGACCCACAAGTAATCAACAGCAACAGCAACCACAAGTAATCTAACGCATCCATAGTCCTTCCATGTAATCTTTTGACATGATTTCCTGATTTTTGATTTTGATTCCCAAGCCCTACTCTGGACAATCATGGCAGGTATCTTATTTCAATTGCTTGATTCTCCATGATTAGCACATATGAATTTTCTGCACTGGCTCAGAAAGCGTTTGCGTTATCTAAATACAACCCAAGTTTTGTTAAAGATCAATAAACCAGTTCCCAACTATTGTTCAGAGAAGCACAAATCAATATTGCTGCCAATAGGAATAATCATTTCCTGTCCTTTTTTTTCTTTCCCATTTCAGTCCCTGCACCATTACACTACTTTTTCCCCCCAAACAAGGTGTTACTATTATACACCATATATAGGGTACTACTGTTCAAACTGATGTCTCTTTTTTGAATGATTAGCTTTACACATTGATCAATAGCTACTTAAAATCTTCTCTGGGTGTGAAAGCCAGCATTACATTGCTGGACAAAGTACTTACAAAAGCAACAAGCTGATTAAAATTACAATAAAAGAGAGATAAGGAGGAGACAGCCTAAAACATTGAAAAGTTTCCTGGAAAACAAATCTGCTACGAGCATCACTGCCTGGAGGAAGCTCAATATAAAGCTTAGTATAAGTTAATGAATTAGCAAGGGCTGTATTCCCGAAGCACATACACAAGGGAGGTTTAAATACTTCTAAGAATCCATGTTAGCGTCTGTGGTATAAACACATGAAAATAAAGCAAGGCAACAAACTGGCCACTGGTTTCCAGCTGGATTGCATCCTTACGCAGCCCTTTCAGCATAATGAAGGCACAGCATCAGCCATTAATTTTAGTCAATGATAGTGTCAATGACATAATTCTCCTGCAGCTTTTATTTGCTCGCTGAAGTGTTTCCCCATCTAGGAGTGGCATAAATTACTCACGGAGATTGTGTCAGACGCTGGCTCACCACGAGCACTTAGAAAACACTGCTAGCTGTGCCTGCTTTTCCCTGTGCTCCTCTGCACACGGCTTTTATACGAAAAGTTGCAGGAGTAATAAGCTGTGGACTAGCAAGAATAAACTTTCAGGCAGGACTGTGCCTGAGCTCGCACCCGCTTTGCTGCTCGTTGCTGTTTAAGGATGAGCAACCCCACCGGTGCTGCCCACCCTTCACATCCACAGCTAAGTGGAGCTCCTCTCTTGGCAGGGAACAGCCCTGTTTTATCATTTAGGAGCCAAGATGATACAAATTGCTTCCCCTTCTCCTGTGGCCCAACAGCTCCTCCTTCTTACCCTGCTAATAGAGGCCATCCCCTCTTGTTTCACACTTCTGCTGCCGTCTCTAACCCGGTGTCACCTCTGCCCCTGCAAGGGCGCAGGGCTGGAGGGGACCCCGCGTGTCCCCCACACCTCCGCGCAGCGCCCAGCTCCTCGGCTCATCTGCCGCTCACGGCCTCAAAACGCTCACAGGGAACAGACTTTCAAACAAAGTGCTCTTAAAAGTGACTTGAAATGGAGACTTCATTATCATCTGTACTTTCTCATAGTAGCTATATGTTATCATAATTACTATTTTCTTCCCCTAACACTTTAATAGTCGAAGTGCATTAACAGATCAGCTTGCCTCACCTTTGCTAAAGCAGAAGCTCCCACCTCAGCTACGTGTTCCTCTCTTCCCTGATCTCCCCCACAGCTCGGCTGTCTGCTCCACCACGCGCTGCCTGGAATACTAAGAGACTTCTGTGAAACCCGTTGCAGAAGCTGGCACCCCTTCCTGCCTCTGCCCTCGCCACAGATCACCTCCCGCTCTGCTCTGCCAACGCAGGTCGGGGTAAAGCCCCATAGACCGGTTATGCCACCATCCTCCCGCCCCTTGGAACACATTTGGTTCCATTCCTTACTTGGATATCTCACTTCTCGTCATTGAAATGATTTTCTAATTTCTGCTTGTATGTCTAGTGCTCATGTCTAAAAAATTACCCTGCAGCGGACTCAGAAAACTCACATTTCATTTGACAGTGTTAGAAAGTTTCTCAGGACATGAGCTAGATGAATTTTAAATATAATCATATATATCATAGCCATACACATTACAATTGTCCCTAAATCCACAACTTCTTTGTTTAAAAAGTCCTTCTCTTCTAACAGTTATTTGGAAAATAGTCCATTGAAGTCAGTAGTTTTGAAAAGTACATTTGAATACTGAGCTATCTTCTCAGTTTCCTTATTAATGCTCTAATGAACTTAACTGGCTTCTGAATATGGTTTAAAGCTGTTTTCAACCCAAAGCAACCCAAAAAGACGTATTCCATACATACCACAGTCAACAAAGCAATGATTTTTAGATACCAAACAACTTTACGTCCTGCTAACACCATTAACGCTCATTAGGGACGCTTCCAAAATAGATTCTCTTAATTGCATCTGTATTGAAACATTGTTCAAACTGAAGAGCAATTTCCATTAGCTCTGACCCTTCTTTGGTTCCCTTTTGAGATATTTATGCCAATGTCCAGAGTTATGCTCAGAGGGGATAATCTTTTTCAGAGCAAACCAAGAAGGTAACAGCAAACAGCATCCTGACTGCATCTTCCAGCTCCTTCTGTAAACACAATTTTCCGTTGTTTCGAGGTGCATTTCAGTCTATTACATCCCCTAATCCAAGAACCGAACAGCTGGTTTCATACTGCCTTCCTTGCAGAACACTCCAGACCTTATATCTTAGCATATTCACTTGATAATTATTCCTAAACACATAAATGAAATTGGCTGATACCTCTACTAAACATGCCCCAAGGTAAAGGGGCTTTGAGTTTGTCTAATGATGTTTTAGCAAATAAAATTCTACTCGCTTTTAGAATCAAGTAAAGGACAGCTCCATTTCTTCAGGCTGTAGAGCTCGATCAGTTAGGATTTGTGGATTTTTTTTTTTTTAATGGAGAAAGGAAGCGGGGGTTGAGCAATACCTTGGGCAAGTGGTCATGGGTTATTACACCAACATCCTTAAATGTAAATCTACACAGCACTTTGCCTGAATTGATATACTACAAGATTGCTATATACTCACAAGATTCAATTTTATGTAGCTTCAGGTTAAAACAAGTCACACTTTCATGTTTTGAATACACTTCCCATGACTGTGGTTTTTAGAGTACATTTATGCATAGCCTAAATCTGTCCTAAAACATACACAGATTTATGGAAAATAAGGGTGCTGGAGATAAATAATAAAATACCTTTCCACACACTGTCTTATTTTTAGGGCACATTGATTTTCACCTTTAAATAAAACACACACAGAAATCCATATTTCCATTCATTCACTACAAAAAATCACCTTTTTTAATACAGTTTAAAGAAAGAAGAAAAATTAGTGAACATTGATTTTGATGAATTATTATATAGAAGCTATATACTGTGTTAATGTATAGAAAAATGTGCATATATTGAAGGTAGTTAAAGAAAGGGAAAAAATCATCCCTTCAATTACTTGCAGAGAAGCAATTGATTTCCTCTTATTCTTTTTTTTTTCAGTCTATCATTACCTTTCAGAAGGTATATCACTTACTTGCGAAGTGGGAAGGCACAACACATTTCTGCTTTTTTTCCTACTCATTTTTAACACTACGCTATAAGCACAAGTCCAATCTGGGCAAGCAGGGTAAATCTGATCAGTGCACTCCAAGGCGGACTTGCGCTGCCTTGAAAATCTTGAAAGCAAAGTATAAAGGGATGAACCCTTGAAAACTCTTGAAGTGAAGTGTAAAGGGATGTTTTTGCTAATATATTGAGCTCTGTTACTCCCAGATAGCACCCACACTTGCCCAGACAGATGCAAAGACACCGGACACATGGTTATGGCACCGCACGACAGCCTGAAGTCCACACCATGCAAGGAGGAACTGTTGGTCCCAATCTCTGCTCCTGCCTGGCTGTCCAATCAATAACACAGAAATACACTAAGAATCAATAAACTAAACCATATATTACTACTGGCAAGTAACCTACAGCTTTGCTGCACGTGCCAAGTTCCTATCATTGCAAGATTTACTTTATAGAGTGACAAAGATAAATTAATGCTACATGTTAGCAGTATTGCACACTACTTGATCACCCTTCCTTATTTCCTGATATTATTTATTAAGAACAGTAATTTATAATAATAATTATTATTATTTCATAAAAACAAATCAATGTAAAACAAAGCACTTGCAGGTCTCTGGGCCTAAGATATATAGAATTGAAAAGAGGAACATCAATTTTAAAACAGGTTTACATTCTGAATCAATGAAATTATAGACTAGCCTTTACTTAACAGGTCTGCTTCTGGTGTATATACCAACCATAACGATGTAATTTCATTAGCTCCCTAAATCCCTAAGTGTCTCCAAACTGTAGCAATACCTGAATTCTTTGATCTCTCACATCCAACATTTTCTGTTACCTGCATTTCCTATTTTGTAATGCAGGCTTTTGCTCCTGAATGAATGCAATGAATGAATTATATATATGTCTCAAGGTAGACTGTTTTCTCATTTCATTCTGATGCTGTGTGTCACACTAATCCTTTGGTCTACAGAGTTCAGGTCCACAAAGACCCACATGTCTTTTGGACCCTGTAACCTGAAAGACTAGTTGCATCTTTCCATATATTTTTTCCTACTACAGAGCTCCTGTGCAGTGCTGAATATAAAATGGATCATGACTACAGTCAAGCAATGAACAAAATTAAAAAAAAATAAAAATAAAGTTGTCAAGTCCCAAGGGTGACTTCTCTTCCTGCTAGAGAATAACTGCAGAAGGTCCTTACTCTCATCTTGAGCCCTTCAATTTATTTGCCAAGCTATAGGCAAACACACATAGTTTATTTTTCAGTCAGGTAAAGAACTAAAAGTTTGTCTTTTTACCAACAAATAATCACCAGTCCTGTTAAGAAAATCATTACTTGAGTACAACTCCTTATAGAGTATAAATAAGGATGAATGAAATTAAAGGGCAGAACGTAACTGATGGGTGCAGCTGTCTTGTGTATTACCTCACCCTACATGAGGCATTTTCAACAGCAACTTTCTATCAGAAACAGCTATTTTGCATGCTCAAAGCATCGCTTGTAGGTGTGTGTAGAGCAAGTGCAGATGATTTATACTGATTTGAATCTTACAATACAAATGACCGCAGCCTAGGACGAAAAGATGGAGGAGTTAGTTGGTGTTTTTGAACACACTCTCAACAGCAACCCCATTACCTAGTTCCCACTGCCACTTAAAAGCCTTTTTTAAGCTTCTGTAGGAACTGGAAATGAACCTTTCTGAATAAGACTCTGCAGCTGAACTTTATTTTCTCCAGCAGTTTATATAAGGTGTCTTATGTTTTGATTCCAGTTCTGTAACCTTATTCTACTGCTGAACATCTAAAACATATTCTAAAAAATCTCGTGTGTTCTTCCTTGTGAAAGGGGTAGGGCAGAAGCCAAAGGGATTATAATTTCTGTTCAGGTCCTTCAGTAGCTTTAAAATTCAAATATAATCTGCCTTAAGAAGTTCCCTATAGGGATTCTGCCCATTCTTGTCACACATTCACAACTGTTTGACATACCTTGCACTCCACTACAGACGTACATACGTTTTATGGTACATAAAAATGACATTACCTTAACAAGACAATAAAAATTAACAAAGATGCAAAAAAAAAACAAAGACCAATCTAGAACTTTTCATGAGAAAAGAAAAAATAATCCAGTACCAACAAAAAGGCATCTTGAGACTGTGTAAGATACTACTCATTTTCTATTCGCTGTATTTAAAGTCTGGTCCAACAAAACATAAATCTATGATTAAATACATCCTAACAATGGCTCTCAATGACTGCATTGGCACTTGCACTTGAAAAAGCCACATGAAGGATGAGTGGTGCCACAAAGAAGAACTAAAAGAAAAAATAAAGTCTATTTGGTTTCTGATTCTTTGAGGCTTAAGAGCCTTGTGTATTTTCCCTTTACTGTATTTTCCCCATACTACCATTAAAACGTGACTCAGATTTCATCTGCAACAACCCGTCAATCTTCCACCCACAAACGCTTTGGCAGCACTGAAAGAACCATTTACTTGCAGTTTCACCCACCCTGCAAGGTTTTCTGCACAGCTTTGATGGGTAGGGGACCGTAACCTTATCACTCTTCAAGCATTTATAAAGATCTGCTGCGGGTCTCCGATTGCCTGTGTTTGTTACTGTCAATGACTAAATACATAGCCTGTCATAAGAAAGTTAGCCCTTGTGCTGTGTAGTTTTCCAATCATTTATGTTCTATGGGAAAATGACTTTTGTGGTTGCCGTTTTGCACAAAAATTGTGGCAATTCTTTTTTTTTTTTAAAAAAAAAAAAAAAAAAAAGCAGAAGGTTTCCCTACCTCTGTTAAGATTTCAATGCAATGGATAGAATAGCCTTTAAAAAAAAAAAAAAAAACCTTTCTTCGGCTTCAATAAGAAGGGCACTTGCAATTAGATGCCACAGGAGGCAGACCATTGTCCCCATCACTGCAGCTCCTCCACAGAACTTGCTCCCTGATGTTTATGTGGAAGAAACAAAAGCAGGAAGCAGAGATGGTGCAGATGTGCCGAGGCTAAAAAGCTGACCTATGTGTCACCCCACCCCTCTTACCCAGATCCATGCTTTTCGAGGCTTTCAGATTAATTGATTCAGACTGCTTGGCTGGTGTCAGAGATCTGAAGTTGATGTGCTGATCTGCTAAATACACTGCTGAATTTATGATAGGGCTGCAAGGGAAAAAAACACAAAAACATGTAAAATATTTAGGCATCGGCTCAAAACATAAGTGAACTAATTAAAACATGCACAGTGTACATGTGCTTCCTCCTACAGTTGTTAGCAGCCATGCATTTTAAAATCCGTCATTGATCCTCAAGTTTCTTTTGTGAGATTTAACACCTCTAGTCACTTGTTTTTCATTACATATGCAAATACAAATTCCTAGTGATAATTGCTGCTTTTACACAATTAATATTTTATTTAGCAGAAGAAAAGAGGAGCATACTCAGTGCCTGCAATTTGCTTTTTGCCTATTGCTAGTGTCATTTAACCATTGTATTTCCAAGTAACATGATACAAAAGGTTGAGGAAAATACAGTCAAGGCTCTTGTGTAGGCAAAGGCCTAAACATTTCAAAATTCCTCGAGTAAAACTCAAAATAGCTTTCACCAGTGAGGAGTCAAAACATCTCATTGCACTGCATCTGAAATCTTCCATCTCTATCAAATTAGAAATACAGGCTATCTTAAAAATATTCTAAAAAAGTCAGCTTCAAAATAAACAACTTTTTTAGAACTCTTCTATCAGAAGCTTTTACTGTGTCACAGCACTTCCCACCCCCCCCTTTTTTTTTTTTTTTTTTTTTTTTTTTTTTTTGCTGAAATGTAACTTCAGTGAAGTCAGTGCAACTTCCTCCAGCAATTCAATTTCAGAGCTTAAGATTCAAATAGAAAACCAATACAGCTCTGGAAAAAAGCCAGGGTAGGAAGGAAGGTCTATAAATTCATCATCATGTTAATATCATTATCATTTAAGAGAATGTTTTTGCTCAGATTCTTGAAAACAATAGCAGCTGCATATTTAGTGCAGTTGCATTACTCTACACTGGGTTTTGTTTGATTATATGTAGCTAATGGAGACACCAGAAATTATGAAAATAGTCCAGTGAAACTGGTGCCTGTTACTTAAAAAGGAAACGGTTACAAGACTCATCAATGTGCGAAGAACTTAAGGAATCGTTAATAAAGCAAGATATACCTGCTTGTTGATACCCTTTGCAGTCAGGCATTTCAAGGATAGCTTTTAATCACATAGATGCAGCACACAAGCCATCTAGTCTGGCTAAGTCTCAACTGAAGTGTAGGCTCCCCTAATTTCATTGCAACGAAACAGTTATATGACTATCCCAAATGCAAATGTACACTAAATGGGGGAGCAGTGTTCAGCATTGAATTTTGAGCATTACCAGTAGAGGAGGCTGAAATAAATGATATTTTGACTTCTACTCTACACTACTCCAGTGAAATCCATGTTACCGCCCAAAGTATATGCCAGCACCAACTTGACATGTTTACGGCTTTTCTGTACTACTACTAAACTTCCACATTTAATAAAGCAAATTATAATTTGCAGTTGTCGTCAGACATACCAGTCTTTGAAAAAAGAAATTAAAGTCTTAAAAATCTCTTAAAATCTCTGAAAAATCTACCTGTTATTTTTTTTTCTAGACAAGTTCATTCAAACTTATAGTAGCTTCACCTAATTTCTTTGTTGACAATGAGCAAAAAAAGATTCAGTTTGCTACAAACTGAACTTGATTAGGACCATTAAAACATGGAAAACTCTGGACACTGCATCTGCTCATAGCATTCGCTGGTATATTTTAATTCCTATACTTTTAAAGAAAAATTTGGATTATGTTTTAGGGATTCTGTTGTTCTAGGTGTTGTGATCCATGCAGCATGGACAGGAAGCTCAGTGCAGCTTAAGATCAAAAGAAATGAACAAAGAATTAAGAGTTAAAATAACTTTCTCTGGGCGCATCGAAGAATCATCCGGATGATGACACAAATTAAACAGAAGGAGTGATTTTCAATCAGTCAAAACTATTACTACAATTACTAAAGAGCAATTAGGGCCATGGATAAAACAAACAGCCAAAGCCGAACCTGTGATTATTATAATCCTCACTGAGCAGATCCTCACTGGGATGTGGGGGAAGAGGTGGAGGGATTTCATTCTCACCATTGCCTCGATCAGACATGGGCAGCTCTGAAATAAAAAAGAGGTTAAATAAGCTAGGAAAAATTAAAAAGAAAAAGGAAAAAAACCAAAACAAAACATTAAACCACTTCATTGATCAATGACTGGACTGGAAGGCCTCAAGCAATCCTGAAGTTACCCACAAATTATTGAAGTCCCTAAACTAGCTAAACTAGAATTAAAATCGCACCAAGCAGGAAATGTACCCCTTGAGATTTCTCAGAGAGCTGATCTGCAGATTTGCATATGCATAATTAAAGATAAATACACGGAAACTTTGTGCTTATAGCAAAGTTGAGTGCAAGGCCCCAATTACCCTACTCCGTTTGATCTCTTGGATCTGCAGCCTAACTGATCAGAGCCTCACGGCTTCATTCCTTCGATAGGGAACATTTACCTCCCCTCATAAGAGGGCTGTGTTCCCCACAAAGAGTTCTGGAGAAGAAACATTTCTGTTCTCCCAGAGCAGGAGAGAAAGCAGGCAATTTCTGAATTACAGTCTGCCCCTTCCTAATATTAAGGTAATTCCTTCTGACAAAAGACAGACAGTTTATTTTGGAAAATTACTTTGGACAGAAATTTGAACTACTCACTTAAACCAGCTCGTGGTTCACTAAGCAGCAGCGCTTACATAACTGCATTTAATGGCACTGCTCTTGAAGGACAGCTCATTATTGTGCCCTGCAGAGCCACCGCACAGACTAAAGGTCCAGTCTTACAAAATATCTGTATATTTCTCAATGTAGGCACATCTTCACCCCACTTGGATCGAAGAGGAAATGCGGATTCTTGATACTTCTCAGGTCGAAATGGCAGAGGAGCGATTTAACAGCACTGACACATCCCTCTGCCACGTGCCCCAGCTCTTTTGTTGCACTGGACACTGCTAGGATTTCTTTTCCTCTTTTTTTTCCCCCTCTCTTCTCTAAACAATTCTGCATGAAAGCATTAATCTAGCTTAAGAGGAAAAGAGTTTCCAGGGAGGGAGCAAGCCAGACCGTGTGGGAGTAGTTAAAACTCCTTCTCTGACAAGGTGAAAATAATCAGAGGCAAGAAAAGATGGGCTGATGTGGAGAGCAGCTCTGCTGGGAGCATGGGAAGCAGTGCCTGCACACGGTGGGCAGGGGAAACCCTTGCCTGCAGGGGCACAAATTGGACACAAATCCACACTTGTGCCCCAGGAGCAGTGCCATGGGGATGAGGCCAGGCCCCTCCTGAACACACGATCGGGGAAGCCAAAAGGCAGACAGACTTCTAGAGCTTTAAGAAAATCAAGTCCAAGCACTCCACCGCGTACTCCGAGTTACAGGTGCACCTGCTTTTGAACCAGCACCCAAGGCTCAGGCACCCCATCTGTAAAAGGCTGCGGGATAATTCAGCTACATATGAAAAGGGCAGTGACACAAACAGCAGCTTTCCTGTGAGAAACTTAAACAAATTGGGACTATTTGGCTTAGAATAGTAAGCAATAGAGATGCAAAAAGAGTCCAGCACCTCTGATTGCGGGTGTCTCTAAAGCACGGTGACCCAGAGCAGGAAACCCCGCACCCAGGCGCCCCGTGGCAGTTCACGTGCCCAGCGCTGGCCTGGAGCCACCCCAGCGGGCACAGCAACACGGCGAGGGGCTGTCACCAGGGCCGGGGACAGCAGCAAAGGGCGAGGGAGGCGAGGAGGGAGCCGCCGTCTGCCCCCGCTGCGAGACCTCGGAAACGAGCTCGGAGGGCCGGAGCGAGCCCGGAACAGCTAACCCAATAACCGCAGCCACTGCATCTTCAGATGTTAAACAGCCTTCGGAGGGTGAATTTAGAGACTGTAAGGCACACGGAATGTTATGTTCCGAGCAAAATGTTAATTTTAAAATTTAACTTCCTCTTTTCCTACCTTCACGTCATCACACACGTATGAAATCATACAATCTCTAAACACAGATTCTTGTACAACCACAAAGATTTGGCAATTTATGCCAAATTATGCCAAAAGAGTTGGCAGAGATATTTTAGGATGATCCTACCACTTAACTGTAGAGGTAGCATCGATTTCCCTATACCCCTATATTATACAGGGTTGTAAGAAATTTGTAAGAATCTCTTAATGAAACACATTCTAGTAATCTTTCAGCACCAGAAACGGAAAGCTGCTGGCACTGAAGCATTATTTCTCAAAGAGGTTGTTCTAAAAAGTGCTGTATCTGCGCAACAGCTTGGCAGGGAAGAAAGTGAGGACCTGAAGGTGGCAAGTATTATTCGTGCAAAAATAGAGCGCAAACATTGCCATTTCAGCACTGGATCAGCCTCCCTGCCACCCCTTCCCCCCAGCTTTTTATTTAAATATCCACAGGCAAGACAAAAATGTAATATTTTGGCTGTAACCACTTTTCCTCAGACATTAGCTTTTCTTGTTCATGTATAATAAAAAGGACTCTTAAAACAGATAGCGATATTAGCAGGCCAAGCTGCAGTGTATTTTTGCTGAGCTTTTAAGAGCTTTATTGGTAGGAGCACTGAATGATATTGGAAATAACTTATTGGAAAACATTAATTGGCAAAAATGACATTTTATTAAACCTAATTCAGTTCTTGTCATTAAATTTGTGCATGAGATCCAGTCTTAATAATAAAAGATGTTAACATCCAAGATACGGACAGAGCACCTTAAGAGTGTGCAATGTGGAACTGCTCCTGTTGCCAGGAGAATGCCCACCTTATCTGGGGCTCCCTTGCAGACGAGGGTCCAGCCCGTGCACGGTGCTTTGCTTTCAGCGATGCCCTGAGGGACTGAGGACTTGATCAGAACCACCACCAAAAATTGTTTTTTGAATGAATGACTGGCAGGTAAGAGATGGCCTGATAGGGAGTTAAAAATTAGATCAATCTTTCTACAATGTGCAGGACTATTGGAGGGCCAAAGTGCACCTCACCCAGGAGGTTTCAGATCAGAGCCCCACTGCAGCTCTCCATTAACACCACTAAAGCTTTACTGATTCTGTAACACATCTTTTAGAGGAGTCACAACACAATGACACTTCCAGACAATTCCAAGGGGTGCCAAAAATGTCTTTGTCTGTTGTCCACCAACCCCGAGGCCACGAATAGGAATTCCAAGCCACTCCACAGCCTCCCCAAAAGCCTCTCCTAGCAGCATCCCAAGCACCCTCTGTGCACCCTACACCCATTTGCTTCTGAGGACTAAGGGTTTTTTCTCCCTTTTTTCCTCAGATGTTTCACTACCTACATTCACCTAGCTTTTACTCAGGAAAACAAGAAAAATCCACAGCTTACCCTGCCAGTTGGTTCCACATGATTTGTATTAACTGAACAGCCAAAAAAATGAGGCTGAACTCTGAATCCTCACGGTTCTGTCCAGATCTTTGCTTTTTCACTTTCATGTATAAAAAAGTGCAATTTATTTTTATGTTTTGCATTGCTCTGTAGACTGAAGTCTGATGCTGTAAGTATCCCAGGCTGAAAGAAAACCTATCAGGACACACACACACTTACTGATCCTTCCTGCAGTTCTTCAGATCAGTAGTTCTTAAACCTTTTGGCAAATGAGCCATCATCAGCCCCTAAAATGTCTTGCTCACTATTATGCCTTCTCATCATAAAAACAACAACAAAAAATACTGTTTTATGAATTAACTATAAACTACTCATCATTGTGATGCTCTGGATCCTCCGAAAGACTGTTCTCCCACAGATCTTATTTTGAGCTTTGAGAAACAAGGTTACCTATTGCCAATCACTTGTACTGTGGCTCTAAGGACTGACTTGGATCTTTCTAAAAGCAGCATTTAAATGTATTTCCCGCTCTGTGATGCTTTGGCAATGGTTGACTCTCCAGGACAAGCCAGCTCTGCAGATGGCCTTTTCTCCCTGTAACTCCAGAACTCAGTACAAATTACATAGAAAATCTGAAGTTATTATTACATATTATGCAGTCATTATTATTATTATATTGATGTAAAGGCAAATTATTAACACTTAAATCAAATGGAGGCTTCTCTGGAGTTTACAGACACAGCTTCTCAGTTGGCTTTGTTTAAAATCACACCACACTCCACAAAATCACATTTTACAGACCACCCAGATTCCACAGGTGTCCAGGGAAGTGGGGAAAAAAAAAACAAAAAACAAAAAACAAGCATAATTCATCTACAAATTTCTTTTTCCCCCAAGTATTTTGAGCACGTGCTTGGCTTGAAGGACAAGAGCACATTCCCCCATTGACAGGGAGCGGTCAGGACAAGCTCAAATATTAAGCTATTTTCACACACTTAGGTTTTCTTTGCACAATGCCCTACAAGCCTGCCAATTTTTTAAACGATTAATCTATTTCTGATTAGTAAATTCAGGGAGTATTTCTAATCCTTGAACAAACTTTATCATTAAGTCCAAAATAAGTTGGTATCAGTATAATGCTTTTGTATAAAATCATTTATCTTGTAACAACTCAGGTCATAAATCTAGGAGTTTGATAACAAATCATTGTACTCATTAAAGATATATATAAAATAAACATTTTGACAACATATATTTTGCACTCATCATTTGTTTTTTATCCAACCTTACGTGTTGGGGCAGCGAGCTAGAAACTGTTACTTAAACTGGAATTTGTGCCAGGAATCTAATTCACAACTTCTGAGTCAGCTCTCCCACCCTCTCTAGATCTTCATGCCTCCAAGTAACATAGCGTGCACTTACTCTAATTAACTGCTTTTTTAGTTGCAGTAAATTTCAGATAAAAAAAGAAAGCAGGCCATAGCTCACTCCCTTTTAGCACAAAGGCAGACAGACACTACCTTTCCGCCTGTCCTGAGGGCTGCGGGTCACAAACTGCTGACGAGCAGCATCGTTGCGCCGGGGAGCAGCTGCGATGGGACGGCTCCCCTCAAACGCTGATTTTTGGAAAGCTCCCGGGTCTGGCCGATCCTAAGGAGAAAAAGCAGAGCTGGATACTGTAACACAAGGGGTGAATGTTCAGCTACACGCAGGATCGGTTATCACTGCACTACCACCCGCTGGACACTGCTGCCTTTCCAGTGAGAAAGGTGAAAGCCATCTTCAAAATGACCACTGGCTATTGCCGATGAAGAAATTCAGTAATAACTAGTCAGCAGCAACTATTAAAGAATAATGCACAAAAATGAAGACTGTGTTTTTTTCCTGACCCACAACTGGCTTCATCCAAATCCTCCATCTGGGAGGGCAGCTTGTGACACTGTCAACACAAGAACACGGTCAATGCCAATGGGATTTCTCTGGCAGCCAGCTGGTTCCCTTCGCTCGGAGACTGGGCGCATATGTTCTCGTGCTCACACAGCCGAGCAGCGCTGCGAGGAAGCAGTTACAGCAGCTCCCCAAAGCAGGGCTTCTGGCTAGCAGCTCAACCAGCTCCTGTCACACCTCTAGTCAGCTTTCCTTGGGAGAGCTCCCCCCTCACACACAGGCCACACTGCCTAATTTATTCTCCTGAGCAGTTGCTCTGAAGAGGGGGGAAAAAAGAAAAAAAAAATCACAGTTTCTAAAACTGGGACAGACCCAAAAAGACGTTTCTGTACTTGTTATTCAGAGAAAACAGAAAACCCACACAGGAGAATATTATGGCTAGTATTCTGAATAACCTTTATAGTTTCTGTGGTTTTTTATCTGTGTTTTTTTTGAAGGCATCTCCAACTGGCTTCTATTTTTAAAGTGCATTTTCATTATGCCAGTGAATGTTTACAATATAACTATATCATTCCTTAAATTGCATGCACAGTCACAGCTATGGAAGAAATGCAGGCACAAACCCACAGCACTTATCTGCACAGTGATGCAGGATGTTTAAGGAATTGGCAAGTGATGCCTGCAAACCAGTGCACAAAAATGGCGGATGGGATAAATCTCCCTTGCAATGGGCCTTGCAGACTCCTTACTAATAAATAATAATAATAGTTTTGGCTAAAAAAACAGCTAATCTCAGAACACAAACCATTTCTGAGAGTCTAATGGTGACTGTGGATGTAAATCTAGTCTCAGGGAACAGGTGACACGTGACATTCCCCCTCTGCTCCATACAGTTTGAGTCCTTTGGAAAGGGTATTTTGGGTCTCTGTAACTAAGGGTCAGAGGCACAAACCCCACACACAGTTCCTGACTATGCTGCTTCTCCCTGCTTTGAATTGCTTAAGATTCCTGGCACCAGGAGGCCCACAGGTACTGCTCTCAGGTGCACTGCTGCCTAAATCAGGCCCTGCAGCAGCAAAACTACTACTAAATTAAAGCCTCCTACCCAGTGGGATAGGGAGCCTTGAACTAACAACAACAGCAAATCTGCTTTCCCAGCTCTTTGATAAACGACACAATCGATATCCCAACAGCTGATCAGTAACTGGCATAATTAGAGTATTCAGCTTATAAAGCTGTCATGCAAGACCTCCATTAGTGTCCTGACCAATAAAAACAATAATGCATTTCTAAACGGATTCGGCTTCCACCCGGTTGCAATGCAGTACTCAGGAAGCAGCTTTGGGCAACGGAAAAAAATGGGCAACATCCCATTTCTGCTACGGTCTGCAGACTCAAATGGAATTACAATTGAACCTCAGGACTATCATACAAAAATTAATTTCTGTCTAAAATGAATTTGATTCAATCAAGGCCTCATTATGCATTCTTCATACGGCATGAGTCAAGATTATTTACCTTTCATACATCTGGATAAAATACAAAACTATACAGTCAACTCAAAAAAAAAGTTTCTATATTTTTACTAGGTTAATCTGATGTTCAACGGGAACACTTCTGCAAAATTTGGTTTTTAATAAACGAAGAAAACTAGCAGCAGTGAGTCTATTTGAAGGTAAGCTATCTTTCATCTGTCACAAGAATCCACAATCAATGTAACACATACTTTTTGATTTTTCCTTACAGCATAATGCTATGGCACATTGAAAAGAAAAGCAAAAATGTGTTTTCCTCTAATATATTCCAGAATTACTAATGAATATTTTTACATATTTTCCTGGCAAAACAGACTGTAGAGAGGCTTGTGCAAAGTATTCTCCTGACAAAGTTCGAGCAGAATGTGCAGCAAGTAATTTTCTTCTAAATGTATTTCTCAATCAATCCATGATGGCAAATCAAATAGAAATATAATCAGCAAAATGATGAGAGTTAACTATTTACACAACACAACACCTGCACACCCTTGGCCATCTCCTCTATTTTGTGTGAATTCACCTACAAATGGAATTATTCTCAACACTTCAAAAGGTGTAACTAAGGCTCATTAAATAAAAAACTCAAGGACATCTCTTGGAATTTTGTGCTGGGATTTATTACTTTTTTTTTTTAATATCACATACCAATATGTGTTTTAAGGAACCGTACAGCTGTTGACATTTCACTAAAATATTTATTTGAAGGTCAAAATTAAAACGGTGATTGTAGTAAGTGAAAGGCAGCAGACTTAGGGCTCACATATACAACAAAGTGAATGAGCACACACACGTGAGGGGGAAATAGGAGAGATGATAAAAACAAACCTTTTTGAAAACAAGTTGTGAATGACACAGGTCAATTGATAGGAGGTCTAGAAAACTATATGTAGAAATTTATTCTCTTCCTATCTTGCTTAAACATATTTTACGTTAATAAACAACTACTAGGAAGGGGTAGACTTCATCTGACCAGAGAAAGTAAAATATTAATCCTTTGATGGTAAAAATGAATTGGAAGAAGCACACACAAAAATAACACCACTTTTTAGACATACTAATAATGAAAAAAGGAAGAATAATGAAGTAAAATCCAGGTCACAGGTCATGACAACATATTAAATCAGAGAAATTTCCATCACCTGTGTCCCAACTGTTCCCTGAGGAGGTAAGAAATGGTCAAAACTACCTCAACCCCCTTATTAAACCTTTTCAGGACCACATTATTTTTGTTCTACAGGAAAGTTGTAAGAACACCAAAATAAAATAGGAGGCAACTTTCAGCATAGCCTAAGTGGGAACAGAAAGCCCAGATGAGAAGCAGAAACAGTGTCAGCCCTGACACAGGGAATTCAGCTGAGAAGTTTGGCAAAGTTTTGCCAGGAGTAGCTTGGTGACCACGTCTTTGGCCACCACCTCGTGAATGCAGACACAGCAGAACTGGAAAGGCGTTTATCCCACAAATGTTTAGCACTTCACCTCTGTTTGGGACTCCAGTCTACGGAGAACTACGAGCTGGATCCTCCCACGAATGTTCCCCTCCATGGACATGGAGCGCCTCAGAGTCTCCATGGCTTCGTGATTCGACTTGCCCAGGAGCGACTCCCCATTAACTGCAACAAGCTGGTCATTTACTCGCAAACGACCATCCTGCAAGCAAAAAATAAAACAAGGAAAAGCAAGAAAAATTAGGTGCCGGTGCTACATACAGGAAAGCCAGGTGCAGACAACCAGACATCGCTTTTTAGAAAGTAAAACACAAAAGACCACATAATATCAGCTCATTAAGAGGAAAGGCAGGGGGGGGAACAAAACAAAATCTGTGTGCCCATTAATTGACCGATGTTTTCTTCTGTTCACAGCATTTTGGGAAGGGTTCATAAGGCAATTGCACACATACACATACGTACAGATGCTGCTGCTTTTTAGCATATGCAATTTAATTTATACCAGTCCTGGAAAGGAGAAAACAGGAAAAGCAGCTTTCGGTTAGTTAAAAGGACCCACACCATGGCTCTTAGTATCCACAGCAAAATCCTGAATAAGCATCAAAGTGGATTTTAAGTACATTGTTATCTGTTATTACAATTAGGTAAGAAACAGAGCCCGCTCCAAAATTATTTTGTATTATACTCTCAGTAGTGTTTACCTTGTCACAATTACTGTGCCACCATATGGGGAAATGTTCTCAGTTCAGAATGGTCATTAAGACTTAAGCGTCCAGATTTTAATTAATGCTGTTCATGTATTTTAACATCCAAATCTGCTGCCAATAACCAAATTGGGGTTGCGCCATCTCAAGTAGCCTGTGCTTTGAAAGGAGACATTTAGTTTCACTGCCAGAATTAGCTGACATTTGTGGCTGTAATAAAATTGTGGACACTGCTATTTTGTGATTTAGGAATCCTATTGCTATTGCCACCATCATCCATGATGGATTTCTTCTCATGTGCCATGGATTTCTTCACATGTGCCATGGACTCTTCTCTCTCTAACAAGAAAATAAGGTCTATATAATTAAGAGATCGGAGTCTCTTTTAGAGCTTGTTAAATTCACAATTAGCAAGTTAGTATCAGACCTCGGCGGAAGAAAAAGAGGAAAGAGACTGAAGGAAAACAATATAAAAAGGGCAGCGGATACCAAAAAACAGGAAAGAAACTTGGACAGAAAAGCACTATCTGGGTTAAAAAAAAATTGGATTAAATCACGGACTCATTATGTATTCTCTGTAAGGCACTCGTCCGAACTGTTTACATATCTCAATACATCTGAATAATCCAAAATATATATACTTTTCAATTTTCATTTTTTCTGTCACTACGATGTTCAATTAACTCTCCTAGTGTGCCTGCCAAGTCTAAGTGATCTGTGCTCAAGTGAGTTACAGCAGCTGTGACAAATCCCGTTTTCCTAAGTGATATTTTTAATGGAACTGGGTGCCATGCACGTTACTAGAGCGGAGTACAAATAGCAAGAGGTGCCACAGTGATGAGGAGCAAGAGCATGGACCTGAAAACCAAGCTCAGCCGGGAGGGGAAGGAGCACAGAGACACTCAACTGGAGGATGAGTCACTCGGCCAAGGGGGATTAAGAGAAAGGGAAGTTTTCTGGGGAGGCTGGGAATGCAAACAGCCAAGCCATTTGGAAAGGAGGTTGAAAACCCTCCCACCACTCTGTTCAGTGCCTTCTGCCAACATAAATTTACACAGAGCCAAAGTCACTGCGTTAACCCCACCCTTCTCCTACATACAACATGATGCCATCGGACTCGCTACAGCTGAGGGAGAGAAGAGTTAATGGTGTCGAACAGGGAGTTTTATTACTTGCACATGTTGCAATTCCTTTGTGCTCTATCAAAACTTGCTGAAGTGAACGGAGCCATTCATGGCAGCAGGGGTTTGGAGCAAAGACGAGGTTATTTTTTGTAAGTCTCTATAAAACTTTGAAATCTTTACAGTTCCTTATGTCCTCCTACTTACGGCCTCATGGGCTCCTGGATTATTTTTTTCCCTTCCATGGATAAACACCTATGAGTAAATATTTGTTAAAGCTTCTTACAAAAGTAAATACAAATGTTTTCAAATGCATCTTAGCTTGACTCCATTCCTGAGCATGAAATAATGCTAAAGATGGTGCCTATTTTTAATGAACCACTGCAGCTCAGGAACCTCTGAATTTGCCAGTTCTTTGAGTTTGCTTTGTCATTCTTCCATATGAGAACTTGTATTTCTTTACATTTTAATAATGTCAGTTCTTAAAGATCTTCTTTGACCTATCTCCCTTCTTTCCACCCTGCTACATACTCCACTTAAATGCAAAACTACCTTGCTGTGCCACTGAGATGCAGCAGGCTGGGAGACAGCTGAGCACTGTTTGTTCCTGCACATGATGGGGTAGAAGTTACTTCACAGAGAAAGCACAAACTTTCTGCAGTTTTGGGGACTGAAAACACCGAAGTCTAAACAGCTTTCAAACACAGATTTGCACATCACTGGTGTTACGGCCTGGTTTAGAAGACTGAACTGCAAGACAATCTGCTTGGCTCCAAACAAGCTAAATGTTGTTTTAACACATTTTTTCTTTCATCTCTGAAAGGTAGGCTTCTTTGTGGCTTCTGCACAGCAAAACAACATTTGGCATTTCAGCAAAAACACTTCTGAAATGCCGTCTCCAAAACTGCAGCGAGCTCCTCCCGAGGGGGGAAGGCAACGCTCCCTTGCTCGCTCCGACGCGGGGCGGTTTGTCTGGAGGCTCTGGGCCTGGGGAGAACCTACCCACCACCACGGCCTCCGGAGACGGGCCCCACCACGCCGCGACGGACAGGCCCGTGCCGCCCCGGCAGAGCGGGGAGATGTTCAATTCCCATATATCGGCCTCCTGATCATGAGGAAGGCATCGCTACTGGAAAGCCAGGATGTCTTAAACTAGGCCAAGCTGAAGCCACTGCAGCTGAGGGGCAGGATGGTGCAGTTAACCCCAGCGGGTCTCCATAGGAAAGGCTCTGTGTAACCACGAGCATCGAGCGCTCTGCGCACACCTTACTCGGACACACTTCACAAATTACAACAGGACATTAAGAGACATGAAGGTACACTCAGTAGAAGGCCATATTTTAATCTCATAGTATTAGAATTCCAATTACAAATACTAAGGCCTAAGATTTCAATTTCCTTTACATTTTTGCAAATTCCTCACTGAGCTTTGCAAAGCTACTAACATGTTAAAGCTAAATCACTGTGTTAAAATTTTGGAAAAAAAAAAAAAACACTAAAAATGTTGGTCTCTCTTCAGAATGATAGCAGACAACACCAGCCAACCCAAAATATACACAATGTTTTCTCAAAAAAATTTAAAATAAATTAAAACAACTGGTGAAAGAGCTTATGAAATTTGGTATATCAAAAATGTTTAGACAATATTAAATACTAGAAGGATGACATTTATTTCAGCCCTGAAGCAAAATGCATTGAACTGCCTGTTTTAGGTCATCTTCTAAAGACAAATGCTGACTGTGTGGACAGAGGTTGGGTTTTTATTTTGTTTTAGTCAGCACTGTAACAATGTAAGAACAGATCTTAAACTTCATATGCACAAGTGAGATACACTAAGACAATTCTCCCATCCAAAAGGCAGCAAACATTAACATTTCCCATGTCACTTTTTCCCCAAGAACATTTGGTACACTGAAAAGCAAACGGACATCCTAAATAGGATTTAGGATCATCCTAGATCCTAAATACTTGTTATCAGGGACAGTTACAATGGAGAACATGGAAACATACTCTGAACGACTACCAAATGGGGTAGAAAAAGAGTCTTTGCATTTAAAAAATGGCTACTAGACAGCTTTTAAAATAAGGACAATGAGCACAGATTTAAAAATATATACACATGCTTTGAACAGGATAGAAGAAGTTTTATCAATGTTAATCCCCAGCGATTGTTTTGTGCTATACAGAGGTCATTAAGCAGCAGGCAGGCAGCTATTTTCCATGCATCTCCCACAGTAGCCATGATGCTGAAGACGTATTCTTCAAAACGCATCAAGCAGAGAGGATGTGAGATTCTTCTGAACGTAAGGTTAGAGCCTCAGCTACTTTTGTATGCTCGGGCACCTACACTCAGACCCTTCAGCAATGAGAACTGCACAGGAAGAAAGCTACGACACAGGTCACAGGACTGCAGTTATCACAAGACAAAATTATCTTCGGCTCGTGGTGACTGAACACAGCAGCTGCCCATTTATAAGAGTGCAGGCACCAAGTCCTGCTTCGTTAGTCTGGTGGCGGCTCAGGCCAAAGCAAACAAACGGAGAGGACGACGTGGCAAAGGAGCAGGGCTGGGGAGAGCTGTCCCACCTCGGAGCGTCTCTGAGCACCGAGGCAGCCTCCTTTGCAGAGCAAACCCTCTTGCACGAGGCAGCAGACACGTAGGTAAATTGAGTTTATCCAGCCCTAATTCGGCCAGCTGAGCTCTTAGCCCATTTCTGATACATACCAAATAGATGAGTTTAGTCTTTTGAGGAAAGCCAAGCTTTGAAATTACTGTGAGACTGGGACAAGTAAATAGGAGCAGGAAAGTATTAAACATTTACATCAAAGCTAAAGTCTTGATTATTGCTATTTACCAGCTACTGTAAATAGATGATCATGGAAGTTATAAGGCTGTGAATTGTCTTACTCAGCAGGTGGATGTCAGTACAGAAATTTACATAAACTGAATTAAAAGGTATTTTTATAGAAAAGAGAATTGCAAGGAATTGCTGAGACAACACAAAAGAAAAAATTACCTTATGGATCTGCAACAACTAAGCATACTAACCCCAAAAGACTAAAACTTTTCCTTATAATTCCAAGAAAGCTACCTTTTTCAAATTTTATTTGGAATAAAAATAGAGTCAATGGAATTCCTAAAGTTTAGAAAGTACTTGAATTACTTCCTAATCATAAAAATGTACAAGAGTCCCCATGCAGTTCTTAAAGGGAACGGAACAAGTCATAATATTGTTATTTACCCTTTTAATTCCCCTCAGGGGCAACTGGTAACTACTGCACAACTAATGACATCCTCAACCAAGTTGCATTTTGACTAGAATAGCAAATAGATGAGAAAGAAAATACCAAGTTATATTTCCAGCAGAAATTAAATACACAATCCCTAACATCACAGAATTACCAATTCCTAATTGCAAGCAAGTTTGTGCTTTGGTGGGTTTGTAGGTTTGCCCACGCCACTTGGCAGACTCGGACAAGTGCAGAGGACACTGAGCACAAGCATGCACTAAACCCCGTGACGCTGAGCCCAGCAGCTCACCAGCCTGCCCCACTGCCCAGCACCTCTGCCTGATGCCTCTGACTCACAGAATGGCTGAGGTTGGAAGGGACCTCTAGAGATCATCTAGTCCAACCTCCTGCTCCAGCAGGGACACCCAGAGCAGGGGCACAGGGTGGCATCCAGGCAGGTTTGGAAGATCTCCAGAGCAGGAGACTCTCCAGCCTCTCTGGGCAGCCTGTGCCAGAGCTCTGTCACCCTCACAGGAAAAGTTCTTCCTCACATGGAGATGGAACTGCCTGTGTTTCAACTTGCACCCGTTACCCCTCATCCTGTCACCAGCAACCACAGAGAAGAGCCTGGCCCCATCCTCCCTACATTCTCCCCTCGGGTATGTGTACATGTTGATCACATCTCCCCTCAGTCTTCTCTTCTCCAGGCTAAACAGGCCCAGCTTGCTCAGTCTTTCCTCATACGATAGCTGCTCCGGTCCCTTAATCATCTTCATGGCTCTACACTGGACCCTCTCTAGAAGCTGCACGTCCCTCTTGTGCTGGGGAGCCCAGAACTGCCCCCAACACTCCAGGTGTGGTTGCACCAGAGCTGAGCAGAGGGAGAGGATCACCTGCGGGAATGAGCGACTCGCAGGCACCAGGAGAACATTTTGGAAGGCAAAGAGAGCAGCTGTAGATGATGGAAGCAGATATGGAACAAGAATAAAACACTGGAGACAGATAAAGATTTCTCTCCATAGTTGGTATTTGGAAAGTCTAACCCATTTCAGACCTGAGGGAACAGCTTCCCCTTGCTCCCTGCCTTGGCTCACAGTTCAGGCAGTCATAATTCACTCTCAGCACACACCTACTCGATGTGTGAAGGCAGGAGAGCCCACAGTAGAAAGCGTTGGTAGCGCAGCACAACACCTCAAGGCCTTAGATGGGACGCCTCTGCTGAGCATCTACAGACTGCCTATGAAGTCCAGCACACAATCTGACATTCCAAAAAAAGCTGCAAGAAAAAACATTCTCCTACAACAGACATGCAGTTTAAGTAATTCCAGTAACCATACCTATCAGCAAAATCATGAAATAAAACAAGTCAAAATTAAAGAAATCACCATGTTAAACAAAAATCAACACAGATACTCTAGTCTCTCAAAATACATCAGAGATCCCTTGTTCTAATCCACAAGACAGATTTTTAAAACACACCACGAGAAAATGGAAAGCAGAACCCCTCTGGCCTGCACACAGCTGGGAATCCTAGCCCACATCCATCTTCACCTCCCAAAGACACAAAGCAGCATGTGGGCATCTGTACCCAGAATTATGCTTGTTATTAATACACAGATGTAATATATTGTTATAGAATATTTATGAAATATACTTTATAGAATCAAAGCTTTAACCAAACACTGTGCATTTATATACACATAGAATGTGTTGATAAATATATATATTTTCAAAATACACTATTTAGAATCCCAATGCTTTCTGAGTATGAAAAGAAATTCAACCATCATTATCATTCCTACAACAGTTATCAGGCCAGATTCAGGATTGAACACAGAAATGTCTGAATTCTAAGAGTCTGGGTTTTTTTTTTTTTTTTGCATACCTTAAAAGCAGCACCTCCATGAATAATGGACTTGATGAAAATCCCAAGATCAGCTCCAGTCTCCCGAGATTTGTTGCCTTTTAAACTCACACCGAGCCCAGCAGAGCCAGAATCGTTCAGAGGAATCTCAAATGTCAGCTGCTCTGTGGTTTCTGGAGAAAGAATACTGCAGTTTGGCTCTCCTTTCTGTTGGGAAAAATAAATATGAAAATATAACTGAAAGGGGGCACACAAACAATGCATAAACTAGTTTCACAAAGCTATTAAAACAACAAGTAATAGTCTTCCTTTCGAGAAAGCAGTTCAAAGAACCACAGTCTTATATTTATAAGACTGCATTTAGCTGTGATTTAGTCACATGATGTAGCCTAAAATGTTTTATTAACAATACTTAGGAATATGCCTAAATACAAGACAAAAATAGTTTAGTCCCACATATTACAAAGCCAAAGTCACAGGAGAACATAAAAACCTGACACTTATTTTAAATGAAGGTGTATTAAAAATTTAAGCCATAAAACTCTCACTGTCTTTCCAGCTCACAAACTGTAGTGATAGTTATAATGATAAATCCCATTCCCCACTGAAAACTGAGTTACCTTCTTACAAAATAATCCTTCCCTTAAAGCCTGACTATAGAAGAAAGTTGGTGCAACAAAAGTGAGGGTGAGAATTGAAAATGCAGCCAGCTACTCTGCATAAACCCCTCTGTGCATACTTTTATTCCCCACACATTTTTTTTTCCCCTGGTGTGGGTTAATACAAAGATTTTTGCTAGTTTAGATGGTTGTTTACAAGACTGCAAAGCCAAGATTCTGTCTCTAGGAAAAATGAGAAACAGTGTTTTTTTACTGCGGACTATATCTGCAGTTTTCTACTCTTTTGTTTCTTCTTCATTTTCTTAAAGCTATTTGGAAACTAAAAAGTAAAGAAATTCTAGCATGAAGTATTCATACTGGCATTCTGCACAAATAGTAGGGAGCAAAGTGTGCACATAAGATATTAGCACAAAAGACCTTTTGCATCACAGCCAGTTTTACTTCACACTTCCTTTCCCATAAGGCAAATAATTGGTTTATATTTCTTGTCATTTGGATTTTTTCTACTCTTTGCAATACTAGTGTTGAAAATTAATAGGAAAAAATATGAAAATGGAGCACCCAAATAGAGATTGAAAGATTATTGGGGCCTGTTTTCAAAGGTGTTTTAAGTCTTCTGTAAAATTCCCAACTAAAGGCCACACGCAAGGAGGGTGAGCTGGGCCAATCCTCCTTACAGCTAATGAGGAAGGGCCATTTCCAGGGAATAAGCTGCAGTTCCACAGTATCAGCACGGCCGAGATTGTCAACAGAGATGCCAGCAGTACAGATGGTTTCTCAGCAGCCAGGGTAGTCCCATATTTTCCTCATCTATTATGCTGTCGGATCAGGAGTGGACAGATGACCTTAGACAGCATAAGTTCGACAAGCAAAATGACCATAAAACTCAGGGCAGAAACTGAAATCCTGGAGAAATGATAAAAAATAGAAGCAATAACCCCTGAGTATACTCACATTTATTTCAGATGCCACTTCACTGATGAGAAGCAGCTACCGGAGGCTAGGGAGAAACCACATGACCCACAGAGCCAGGACTATAAACCTCAATCCCAAAATATGATGTATATACCTCACACAAATTCTTCCTGGAATATAACTACATGATACCAAGTCAATACAATTAACCTAACTGCCAAATATAAAATGACATAGCACTGACACTGATAACTCTCTTTAAAGTAGCACTTATCTCTGGGGCTTGTGCTACTCATCTGCTCTCCTCGCTCTGTTCACTAGAGGCAGACGATTCTCAGTCACAGATACGGCACTTTTTTCTTTGCTGTGGCTACAGAGATGTCCTGAACATAAAAAAAACCCACAAGTTCATACTATTGTGAACAACAGAGAAAGAAAAATTGTAGACACTCCTGCTCCAACTTACTTTAGAAGAATTAATGCCAACACAGAGGCCATTGAATGTTTTGCATTTAACTTTCCCAAGCTTTAGGGGGAAGGAGTGCAGGTTTTTTATTTTTTAACAAATATGTTTGCCAGATGATGTAGAAACTCTTAAGATTAGGGGGGTCATGCAAGAGGCATGTCCTGCCTGGACAGGGGACATTCTTCTCAGGTCTCATCACAGTCCCAGACACAACGTGCCCTGTATTCCTGCAGGACAGGCGGTTTCTCATTACTTCACTGGTTCCCTGGGCGAGTAGTTCCTTTGGGCTGCTCTCCTCAGCTGCAAGGTCAGCTGCAGAGCTGGAATCGGAGCTGGAGCACTGGTTCCTATAGTATAAACCTATACACTGCACTTCTGCTGCTCGAATCGAACCACAGCCCTTTATTTCAAGGTCCAGCATGAGAAGGGGAGACACCAGGGATTCTGCAACAGCCATGTGGAGGCTCGAGGGGCTTGGACACCTTGCCGCTCCACTTTGCAAGGGCAGTCACACTGCTAGCTTTGCTGGGGCCCTGCATCCCACTCGCTGGCCTCAGCAGCTTGGAACTTGTTAATCTCCAGTTCTGGAATCTCCATAATCTCCCCAAGAATCGCAGAGTCCATTGTAGGCCTTCATCTGCTGTAGATTTTCTTCAACTTTTCCTTCAACCGTAGCTTATCAGCACTTGCAAGCCTTACTCCCCACATTCCTATCCAATATCATTCTTCCTCCACCTACTGTTACTGTTATCCTCCTACCACTTCTGGTTTCCAGAGCTCACGAGCCGTTCCTCTAAACACACGGCAAGTTCTAGCCTCCCCGCTCTCCCTCCAGAAGTATTCCGTATTCCAGTTAAACCACAGCCCCTACATCTTACCCCTTCTGGGTATTAACAGTGGTTTCCTTTTCCACAATACCATGATCACAGCAGTGAGGCAGGTTTTCTACCACAGTAGATGAAGGTGCTCTGCTCTCAGTGCTGACACCTACTTTTACAAGAAATTGTCATTAATATTGTCTCTGCATGAACTTGCACTTTATATAAAACAGAATTTGGTCACGCTCGTGTCGGTTTTTAATGGGTATGGCTGAAGGCAAACCTCAACACAAAATTCTGCCTTTTTTTTTCCAAGGGAAAAAAAAATGTATCTCTTGCAAGAAAAACAAGAGAGAGTAATTTTTCCCTAGCTTATTTCTCAGAAGTGTCTAAACTGTTTTACTTTAAGCTCCAAGATGTATATTAATTTCAAGTTAAAAACCTAAAGCATTTGTTAAAGCAAAAATCATAAAGAAACAAAGGCAACAGGATCTGAACAAGTCCCTCAAGCCCTTGCACGAATATAAACCGTGCAAGCGAGTCTGGTATCGATTAGGATGCCGGCCTCCAACTCAAGCGTTGCCAATTTTGTTGTTGCTCATCCCTCACCCACCGTGGGACTTTGGTCTCCAGGTCGCAGCCTTCCCTGCTTGTGTCGGAACCTCAGTAAGGGCAGTAGTAGGGCTGCCTGTAAGATGCAGGAAACCACCCTTTTGCTCCTGGAAAAAGCTCCATAGGAGCCCCGGTTTCAGCTGCAGGCTTCAGGAAACAACCTGGCTGCAGTCCAGAGGACAGCAGTGAAACAATCTTGTTTAACCTTGTGAAAAAGAGCCTAAAAGGGGACATAGTAATTGTCTTCAAAATACTTTACAATAACATTTCTCCCTCCTTTTTTGCAGGCAATTTTTGACATAAGAAATAGCTTGTTGAAATAGCAGTCAGGGAAATGTCAGCAAGACTCGAGAAAAAATTTTACCCTTGATATCTGGGGAAAAACAGACTGACTAGGTGGTCTCTTGATGTCTCCCACTATAAAGTTTACTAAGATAACAATACTTTGTGTAGTTATATATAACTGAGTTTAACTGAATTGTGTTTAATATTGTTGCAAATAAAATGCTAAAAGCAAAGTAATAAAAAAGCGACCCTGTTGTTTCATGTTATATAACATTTTCCAACTTCATTGACATAATTATTCCATCTATTAGGTCTTGTTAGTAATGTACCAGATTATTGTCTGCATGCCTGGACATGTTATCTATCAAATTGGAGACATTAAGATGTATTCAGCAAGACACCAGACATGTATAGTAAATCTTTGTCAGTATTAAGTTTCCTCTGCTTTCTCCAGTACCTAATTTGGAATCCATAACATTTCACTACCATTTACCTTGCTACAGTTCTCAGGGAAGCATAGTTTCATCATACAGAAAACCTTAGTAAATTTAATTTCATTTTAAACAACAGCTGCTTTTGTCTATTACTGGGGAACTCACTAATCTTCCCCAAAGCCCTGCACAAGAGCTGCTTGTTCAGTGCAGCCAATTCATCTAAAACCTCTCTTGTGTAGTATTTATATTCAGCATTGCCCTAAGATCCAGCTAAAGTTGATTTAAAATAACACTGAACTTTATTTAACAGTACTATCAAAAATTATTTGCCTATGAGGGAGAGTGAATAACTTATCAATGATTTCCCAGGTATGGGAAACAACACATGGAAAGAAAAAAAAAAAACAATTAATTCATTATAAGATAAAGTAAACTCTGTTTTTATTCACTTAAAATGTTCATTTCCTATTTGTTACATGGCATTTGATACCAAGTACATGAGTATTCAATCTGTGAAATCAAGATTTGTACTCTTTGGTACAAATATAGGATTGAAAACCTTTCTCTTTGTGGGAGAACATGGGAGGAAGCAGAAATAGAAAAACCAGGAGAAACGAAGAAGGGCGAAACAAATACACTATGTAGAGTTTTAATTTTATCCAATACTCACAAAATGGTTTCAAATTTTTATCCTGATACTGCTGTTCTGCACAAGGAATGCCTTCTCATTGCTGACCAGAAAAGCTCCAGCCATCCTGAAGTTAACAGCTCATCAATTAACCGCTTCATTTGGGCAACTAATTTCATGAGTGATGGTCCTGCTCCCAGGCAATGCAGGTATGAATGTTAATTGCTGCTAGTAACTCACAGAGCTGAATTCCCGACGCCTCCGTTTCCCTGACATTGCTAAAACCCTGTCCCAGGGCATCAATACTTCACAATGGAGCAACCACCATGAACTGAGTTATGGTCTGGTAAAGCAACACCACTCCAATGCACCAGACCTTGAACTCCATTAAAAAGACTTTTTAACTCAACATCATCCTAGACTCTGAAT